GCCTGTAGTCAGGAAGGAACCTATCTAAAGTGTAAAGGAACATTACAGACCATCTTAGGGGGCGCCTGGGTGGCTCAGTCATTTAAGCCTCCTACTTCGGCTTAGGTCATGATCTCACGGTTGGTGGGTTCGAGCCTCGCATCAAGCTCTGTGCAGGCAGCTAGCTCAGAGCCTGGAGGCTACTTCGGTTTCTGTGTCTCCCTCTTCCCCTGACCCTCCCCTGCTCACACTCTCTCGCTCTCTCTCACTCTCAGAAATAAATAAAACATTTAAAAAAATTTTTAAAAGACCATCTTCATCAGTGTATATATGCATGGTATGATTGGTTAACTTCAAAGTGAGTTGGTTAACTTCAAACATGAGTAGAATGCAATGAATATTTGAATTTTGTAATAAGCTGTAAACATTTAAATATATTTCTATTATCTTGCTTTAAAAGATTAAGTTTGGCTTATAAAAAAAAAAAGTGTTAGAGTTATCAAGCTTTCACTCAAGCGAAGCACACAGACTTTAGTTGATTAATGGCAGTAAAAGATTCAACTTCTCAGACAGCATTGAATCCTTCCCCTTTCAAGCTCAGGTATTTACAAGCCTCATGCATCATTAATGTTAGACAATACACCACGAGTCCTGCAAAAACCAATGGAATTAACAGTTTGTCAGGATTTTTCTGCAACCAGAACTAAAAATAATGCAGGCGGCAAAATAGTATTTCCTGGATAAACAACAACCAGATAATCACAACCAGAAAAAATAATTAAAAGTTAACTGAAATAACACCCGATTTAGGTGGAAAAAGAAAATCTGTATTTTGAAATCTTGATGCAAAAGTTAAAGTTATGGAAACAAATAAGATGGTCTTGTTTTTACCTTTTAGTGCAGGTAGTCATGCTCCGAGGGCTTTTTGTATTTACAATAGCGCTGTCTGTCCTTTCTCGTTATTTGTGAAAAGAACGGAAAGTGGTAACAAAGAAGGAGAAAGGATGGAAGGACTGGGGAAATAAGATAACCTCCACACCAATGCAGAAGAGAGAAAGAACACATTGTATTACTGAGTAAACATTATCAGGTTTACAGGCGTGTAAGTAGCATGAAATTAACTACCAAATCTGGACAGGATTTCACGCAGATTTATACAGTAATGCAGAAGAGAATTAAGATTTATCTCCTTCAGGTACAAAAATATTAATTTAGGGATTATTTCCTGTGTGTCTCCTGAGAGACTTTAAGCTTCATTTCAGAGGTGTGGGTTTACAGTCCCACTTGTTAGAAGTCCCTGGATCTTGCCCTGCAAATCAGAAAGAAGGTTGGACCCCTAGGGGCACCTGGGTGGCTCAATCGATAAGCCTCCACTTCAGCTCAGGTCAGGATCTTAGGTTGGTGGGTTGGAGTCCTGCTTTGGGTTGTGTGCTGATACCTCACAATCTGGTGCCTGTTTTGGATTCTGTGTCTTCATCTCTCTCTGCGCTTCCCCGACTTGCATTCTCTCCATCTTTGTCTCTCTTTCTCCCCTTCTCTCTCTCTCTCTCAAAAATAAATAAACATTAAAATTAAAAAAAAAAATAAGGTTTGGCCTCTAAAATTATAAGAGGACACTTAAAGCCAAAGAGGTGGAAAACCAAATACCTCATTCCTCTTTATTAAACAAACAATCAAACAAACAAATAGACAGACAGACAGACAGACAGACATTGTCTCTGTTTGCTAAGGAGTTGAAAGTGGATCATTTCTTTATCTTATTTAAGGATGGGAGAGTGGGAGGGAAGACTGGAGGGAAGGAGGGAGGGGGTGTGAGAGTAGGACCAGATAGGAGGGACACGGAATGGAGAAAGGGTACACATGATCAGAGTTGAATCATGGCCAGCAGCAAAATGTGCACCTTTCATTACATCCTGGGTCAGAGGTGTTTTTCAAAAGCAACAGGCTTCTATTTCCTGAATCCTGTGAAAAGACAAACCACAAAGTACCTAGATTTAGGAAAATGTTCCCCTATACTCTGGTCCAAACCTTTGAGAGGGAACTAGTGTTTATGAATAGGTTGCCTGTGATTTTGTCGATTTCCTGTTGGAATACATTCTGTCTTTTCCAGGCAAGCCCTGGGATCCTCAAGGCCACAGTTTTCTTTGCCACTGCTTTTCCAGCAAAAGGAAACCCTTTCCCCCATTGTTCTTTCCTTACTCATCCACTGCTCATTCCCTTTTTCCACCATCACTGAGTCTTTACATAAATGGCCTTAATACTAATCTCACCTGCAGGATGGCAAAAAAGCAAATGGCTGGAATCTGCCAATGGGACACTCAGAGGGTGCTTGCTACTGCACATCCTTAAATGGGTAGCATGGGCAGTGTTGGTCATTCAGTAGTTTGGGATCTGCTAACTGAAGTGAGGTGTAAAAGGAAAGCCTTTTCTCTATCTGACATGTGTGAGGCAGTCAACACGCTCAAACCTGACAGTTAACAATTGTGGTCATTAATTGTAATTTACTAGAAAAAAAAAATTTTCCCCTCAAACACCTCATTGTCCAAGAAGGTACATTTTCAGAACTGGAAAATGTGGTCATCAATTCCTTTTTGATATTATTTCCTGGGTTGTTGTGGAAACCCAAGAAATTGCTTCTGTAAATACTGCAATATGACTTTTGGGAAAAAGTTCTTGCCAGGAATAAAAAAAAATATTTGTAATTTCCTGATTTTTGTTCTTTTCTGCAAGGAAGCTATTTTTGTGCTGTATTTCCTGTAAATGAACTGATCGTATTTTTAAAACTGTATATCGAATTCAGATTTACTTTCTTTTACCTGCTCAAGATACCATGTTTCATAATTAAAATTTATCTCTATCACTAATAAACTCACCTTCTATTGAAAATGGAATATTCTTTATGAAATATACATACCTGCTTTTAGAAACCCTGTTTCCTTTGCTACCAGGAGCAAGAGATTCTATTCATTTTAATCTGTCATAACCACCTGTTCCTTGAAATTTCTGTTTGGTAGGCTGCCAATGTAATTCAATGATGTGGCTATATTATATATTTTTTTTAATTTCACAATCCTCCAAACAATTTAAAACCGAGGCCAATTTTTGAAGTAAAATAAATCCCCAAATTCATGCACAAATGAAGATTCTCAATCAGTCCCACTGGTCTTTTCCTTGTCCAGTTAGTAAAGTGAATTTAAAAAAAAAAAACATTTATTTACTGTGTACAGTGTCCCTTCTAACAAGCTTTTGGCGTTTGAACATAGCTGTCAAGTTGGGTCCATTCGGTGCTCATTAAACTCAGTGCACTTGTTTCCCTTACTGATAAGAGAGCTCTGATTACATGTTTCCACCAGAATTTTTAGAAAGATGTTTTGCCAGAATCCTAGAGACAAAGAGTTCAGGTTTAGTGCAGTCAGCAATAAGAAATTTTGTCTATTAGCTAAATTGGAAGGGAATCAGAAATTCTGGGTCTTGTTATGTTTTCTAAAATGGCTACCGCCTGCTTCTGAAATTAAAGAAAACAGAAGCATGTCTGTGAAATGCCCATTTTCAGGAATTTGTTTTGGGAAACAGAGAGACCTTGTCTCAGAGATGAGAGTATCCCTTTTTGCCAGGTGACTAGGTGATTCTTCTAAGAAGATTGATAAACTAGTAAATGAACAAAGGATGCACATATACAAGCTGTGTAAATTACTAAAAATTCCCTGAATTAAAAAAAAGAAGTTTTAGATCAAATATAAAATTTATAACCTGGAAAACAGTAATCCATCCTGTTATTTATCCATTTTGGGGAGATGTATCAAGTAACTGTTTTTCTCTAGGACACATGACAACAACAATAAAAATCAACCGACAGAATAGAAAAGGCAATGCATTTCTGAGTTCTATAAAAATCTTCATGCTTAATATTTTCCTTTCTATTCAGACTCCTATTAATATACTACACATCTAAATATCTTTACTATTTACACACACACACACACACCCTCACAGAAATACCATATACTTAAAGCAAATTCTGTCTGAGTCATAATACACAAATACACTTAAGCTAAACTGATAGTAATTCCTGTCCTTCTGTAGCCACATTGAATTTACATCACATGTGATAAGTAAAAACCCTGCCTAACTTAGATTTACCATGAACCGAATTAAAGAGAGACATGTGGGCAGACTAAACATCTGATTGTCTGTGCCTTACCTGACATTAAAAAAGAAAGAAAGAAAGAACTAGAAGTTTCGATTTATCTGGCAAAGGTAATTGACATAAAGGAATCCCTTGTTCCCTAAGAATAATTGTTATCTGGTACAGTCACAAACAGAATTCATCAAAAATAGAAATAAAAATGTCATCATGACCAATGGAAAATGTTTCATTTAAATTGCATGTTGAAAAATCAAGCAAATGTATTTATTGTGTATATACCAAAAATTTGTCCTATTTAAAATATTTTATAATTAAAAATAGGAATACCATATGATACAATATTTCCACTACTGGGATTTGCCCAACGAAAACAAAACACTAATGAAAAGATATATGTCCTAATTTTTTTAATGGCTCATTAATGTTTAAGTATTTGATTTGAACAGGGGAATGGGGGGGAAAAAGCTCAGCAAGACAGGCCTGGCTTTTGTAGTCAATTCATGCTACTTTCTTTTTTTTTTTTAATTTTTTTTTACAAATAGTTTATTGTCAAATTAGTTTCTACATAACACTCAGTGCTCATCCCCAAAGTGCCCTCCTCCATGCCCATCCCCCCCTCCCCCCCACATCCATCAGTCCTCAGTTTTTGTCAGCATTCAAGAGTCTCTCATGGTTTGCCTCTCTCCCTTTCCCCCACCATTTCCGCCCTTCTTCTCCCCCTTGTTCCTCCGTCAAGTTCCTCCTAATCCTCCTATACGTGCAAACATATGATATTTGTCCTTCTCTGCCTGACTTATTTCGCTCAGCATAACACCCTCAAGGTCCATCCATGTTGCTACACATGGCCAGATTTCATTGTTTCTCATTGCCAATTTCATGCTACTTTCACATCATCTCCAATTAGCTGCCACACAGAAGTGACAGTGGTGGAAGCTTGGATATCCATCAACATGAATGAAGGGATTGTTTCCAAGGCATTATATGCTCCAGTGGTGGAACCTGTGTTAACACAAAATTTATTTTCATGCTCGAATGCTTCAAATTTGTGTGTGTGTCCCGAGATAAGAAAGTCCACCTCGAACCGCCTCTGCAACGGGGCTAAGCTGGTCATACCTCCCCATGGAATAACTTGACGCCCAGGGACCACGCCAATTCTGAGCTGCCTAAGAGTCACGGCTTTCTGTTCTGGGGAATTCCGGTTCCCATCGACATCTCCCCTCACAATAGGAACCTCAGTAGCCTGAGTCTTGAGATAATCATAACTCTCTTTGCTACAAAGATTTCCTATACCAAGAATGGGCTGAATCTTTCCTGGCGCCAGCAGTTCCTTGAATTTAGCTGACAATCGGGTGCACCGGCGTGGGATGTACAGGCCTCCTAATACTGCCACCGTGGTCCTGTCTTGGGCTCACCTGGGTCTTGACCATCACCGCCACCTTCTTCCTCTGTGCCCTAATTTTTACGACGGACTTTGAGTGTAATTTTGCTGATGAGGATGTAAGACAGCACATTACTAATTCCTGTGTTTTACTTTTGACCTTTGCCGTGTGACCTTAAGAGAGAACTTTAAAAAAAAAAATCTATGCAGACCCGAATACCAGGACAAAACTAACGGCCACTGGCTTTCTTTCTTATGTTACTTAATTTTTTCAGGTTTATTTATTTTCTTTTATTTTGAGAGACAGCAGAAGTGGGGGAGGGGCAAAGAGAGGGGTTGAGAAAAAGAATCCCTAACAGGCCTTGCATTATCAGTGCAGAGCCCTATGCGGGGCTCTAACTCACAAACCATGCGATGGTGACCTGAGCTGAAGTCTGCTGCTTAACTGACTGAGCCACCCAGGCGCCCCTGTTATTTAATTTTTTAAATAGAAGTGAGAGTTCTAGTTAGTTCCTAGTCTCATATTTCTTTTTTGTCGTCAGCTAGCCAAATCTTGTTTAAAATGCTATAGTATAGACATAATACTGTTCATGTAGAAAAAATACAATAAAAGCTACCTTTCATTACTTTTAGTCATGACCACAAGAAATTTCTGATCTTGAAGGTTTTCTCAGTCTACAAGAGGTCATTCTAGGTAATATTCTCCTTCATAAAAGGACTTAAGAGATTCTTGAACTGACCTGCAAATTATTAGGTTGCTACATTCTATTTTTCTCTTCTCGTTGCCTTGGTGAGTTTAGCTTCATTCACTTTTTTTTTTTTTAATTTTCTTAATGTTTATTTATTTTTGAAGGAGAGAGAGAGCGTGATCAGGGGAAGGGCAGAGAGAGGGAGACACAGAATCCAAAGGAGGCTCCAGGCTCTGAGCTGTCAGCACATTGTCCAAAGCGGTGATTGAACTCAAGAACCGTGAGATCATGACCTGAGCCGAAGTCAGACGCTTGACTTGAAGGAGCCACCCAGGTGCCCCTAGATAGCAGATACATGGAAGGGGGCTGCTGGTGGGGGGTTCTCCCCATTTCTCACTCATCTCACTCATCAGCTACTCCTCTTTTAAGGCTAACTGGTGTAAATTAAGTTGGGAGGAAATACAGCTCTTCCACTTGCTTTCCTTGTTTCCTCTCCCCTTCTTCCAGAGCGGATGGTAGTAGTCCCATCTGATTCTCAGCCGTGCCCATGACTGATAGAAGTGATGACTAACAGCACTCTTTGCTGCCTCCACTAAACATAGTTAGATGTCCTTCTTAACACATCACTCCAACTGATTGAAACTGGCACATTTCAGGCCTCAGATCTCTCTTTCTCTCTCTCTCTCTCTCTAAGAAAAACATGATTCTCTCTCTCCCTCTGTCCCTCTCCTGCACTCATGATCTCTCTCTCTCTCTCAAATTAAAAAAAAAAGTCAGATTTTTATTCACTTACTGTTATCCATTTGTTTCTATACTCATTTAAATATTTAAAAATTAATAAATGTCCATTTAATTCCCCCCTTGGGGATGGACACACCTATTAGCACCTTCCTAACTCTGTCTTTCCTTTCTTGGTTGCAGTGTCTGAGGCACCTGATCTAAAACTGTTTCATCTGAACTCCTTTATAACACCATAAAATGTAGCTTCATGTTTTATCACACAGAACATGCTTTCCCCTGTTAGTTCCTATAGACACTGTAAGTAAGTTGACTCTTTGATTCCTCAGCATTTATCCTTATTATCTTCATAGAATTTGTCATTATTGAATACCCTTCTGCTTTTTGTTGGAATACTATCATTTTTTGTTGTTTTGCTATTTCTGTATTTTTATTCTCTTTAAGTTAATGTCTCCATTCTGTTATTTTGTCCCCTTGAACTTAAATGTGAACATTCCTCAAGGTTCCACCTTTGACTCTTGCTTGTCTTGTTATACTCTTATCATTGTTTAACCACTGTTTCTGTGACACCCAAATATATATCTTCAGATAGGATCTCTGACCTTAGCTCCGGGTCTAGGTTTCTGGTTGTCTGTCTCAATTACTCCATTTCTATTTGTGCCACTAATTGTATCATCTGATATTCCTGTGTCTTAGCAGATCCTGGGTACAGTGAGGTCATACGAACAAACAATAACTGGAATTTTAATGGCTCTGATCCCCCAGGTGCATAACCCCGGACAAAAGTGCCCTCCCAGAGTCTCCCAGCTGTGTCTGGATTTCCCTGCATATCCTGAATGTGTTCAATAGCTGTCCTGTCTTGTTCTTTTTTTTTTTTTTCTGGTTCCCTGACAGATGTTCAAAGTCTGCAAAGAACTTAAAATAAGGTGCCACTTTTAGAGATGCCCTTAGTGAGAGCCACTTCCTTGCCAGATGAGCACCCATCTCTCTTCCATACTCTATTTTCTTTGTTTGAGTTTTCTTCATAGCTTTTATTGCTACCAGACATTATTTGTTTTCTTTCGTTTTCCTGGGTTTTTGGGTTTTTTGGTGTGTGTGTGTGTGTGTGTGTGTGTGTGTGTGTGTTTTAAGCTGGCTCCATGCTGTCAGTGCAGAGCCTAAAGCAGGGCTCAATCCCACAACAATGAGATCATGACCTGAGCCGAAATCAAGAGTCAGATGCTCAACTGACTGAGCCACCCAGGTGCTCCTCTTTAGATTTTTTTTTACTCTATAGCTTTTATTAGAAAAGACTGTCTTATTCACTATTCTATATCCAGTGCCAGCAACACTACGTGACCCTGGAGAGGGTGAATAAAAACTTATTGAATGAAAAATGAGTGAGTTAATAAAGAGCTAGGGTGCCAACCTAGAATTCCAAAGTGGTGCCATTGTTCCTACTACATTAATTGGTTAGGGATACACTTTAAATTGGAATCGGGATTGAGCATAATCCCTGTTTCAAAACTTTGTATCACATTTACTACCTGGGCATCAAACCAGCACTTCCGTGCCCCACACTCTCCACTTGGTGGCCAAGGGCCAATCTTGCAAGAAGATTTTCCCAAGTATGACAGTCTGAGGTCTACTATGTGAGCATAAGAAATGAAAGCCAATAAAGAAAACCTCAATAAAATTTTTAAGTACAGTTACCGTACGGTGTTATATTCACTTCAGATATACAGTATAATTAGTTAACAGGTCTATATGTTTATTACTCAGTGCTCATCAAAATAGGTATACTCAATCCCCTTTATCTATTTCACCCATTCCTCCCACCTTCCTCCCTTCTGGTAACTGCCAGTCTGTTCTCTACTTAAGAATATGGTTTTATGGTTGTTTCTTTAGTTTTTGTTTGTTTGTTTTGTTTCTTAAATTTGACATGTGAGTGAAATCATATGGTGTTTGCCTTTCTCTGACTGGCTTTTTTGCTTAGCATTATACCCTCTAGGTCCATCCATGTTATTGCAAATGGAAAGATTTCATTATTTTTATGGCTGAGTAATATTCCCTTACATGTGTATAATATCCATGTACCCATTTATCTATTCATCTGTTCACAGATATTTATGTTGCTTCTATATCTTGGCTTATTGTAGATAATGCTGTAATAAACAGAGGTGCATACACCTTTTTGATTTTGTGTTTTTGTTTTCTTTGGGTAGATACACAGTAGTGGAATTACTGAATCATATAGTATTTATATATTTAATATTTTGAGGAACCTGTGTACAGCTTTCCCTTGTGGCTGCACCAGTTTGCATTCACGCCAACAGTACATGAAGGTTCCTTTTTCTCCACATCCTCACCTGTACTTGCTGTTTCTTGTGCTTCTGATTTTAATCATTCTGACAGGTGTGAGGTGATATCTCATTGTGATTTCAATTTGCATTTCCTTTTAATCAGTGACATTGAGCATCTTTTCATGTACCTGTTCACCTTCATGTATCTGTTCGTCTTCTTTGGAAAAATCATGTTTCGTCTTCTACTCACATCCTCTGCCCATTTTAACTGGATCATTTGGGTTTTTGTTTTTTTTTTAATGTTGTGTTAAGTTCTTTATATGTTTTGGATATTAATCCCTTATTAGGTATATCATGGCAGGTCTCTTCTCCCATTCAGTAGGTTGAAACTTCAATAAAAATATTTAATTGCAAATGTTATACTGAATGTAGGTCCAAATCAAAAGGGCTTATTCACTCTTGGATTCATGATGTCTAGTCTTTTAGTGTTATACCCAGATCGCAGTATCCTCACCGACCAGAGACCACCGGGGAGACTGGGTCACGCATGCAAAGGCAAAGGGCTTTATTATGGGCTCGAGCTCGGGCTCACAGACTTCACCAGCGCCATGGATCCGTGCTGAGAGCCTCAAACAAGGCCAGAGTAGGATTTTTATGGGGTTTGTGACGGGGGAGTTACAGAAGTTGTGACATGGGAACAGTGATCCAATCATAATTATACAACATCATTGACAGCGGGTTTGATCATACACATTGTCTAGAGTATTCGTTACTTTTGGCGGGATCCAATTACAATGTTTAGAGTACCTTTAAATTTAACCACAGAGCGAGCCTAGGGTCTTACTCGGCGACTAACGGGTTAACTTTAACATTAGGTAACAGGGTCCTATCTATAGTTTCTATCTATAGGCCTCTCCCTCAGTAATGTGGAGGGTGGTCGCTGGCCTTTCCTGATTGGGTGTTGCAAGGGTGATTTCTCCTGCCTTGGGCAATGTGTAACTGCCTAATAGTTTCGGGGAAGCTGAAACTCAGGCCTTCTAGTTTAGAGGGGAAACTTACAGTCTGTCATGGAGTCAGTTTGGTTTAGACGTTTAGACTTGTGTCCTTACATTAGCAGGTTTTTCTCCTTCCATGTTGTAGAGGATTTCCTAAGAATTCCTCATGCTCCCCAGTTTAGTCCTGGGCCACATCAGCCACATGTCACATTGTGGATTAACGCTGATACTTCCAATGGTCTCTTTTCCCTTTGCACGTTACCTGTTACCTGCTGACATCTAAGGCAAAGTCCTCAACCCACTCATCCTCTCTCCCATGAAAATGGAGATAAGGCTGTAAATTGTCATCAGAATACAGAAGTCTGTTGTAAAGAAACCAGGAGAATGGCTCCTGAATGTGGCTGTCTGCAGACGCCACCAGCTGTGATTCAATGAAGGGAGGCTTCCCAGGATACTCTTTCCACACAGGTGCTAGCCCAACTCCCGCCTGACAAAACCAAGTGTATGCCTGAGGGCATTTTATTTGCCTCTATTCAAAACTGCCCCTAGGATGCTGGGAACAGCTTCTTTAGCAGTTTTGTTGAAAGTTGAAGGGGTTACATCTTTGTCTTTTGTCTTTTGTCATTGAAAGACTTGCACTCAGAATATCCACTCTCCTTAGTTAAAATCTCACTCTTACCCACAGGCAAGTGGTGCGGTCTTACTGTGGTCTGAATTATTCAGCCTGAAATACAAGCACACTTGAGGTAGCACCCAGGGCAGAACAACATATTCTTGAGTAGAAGATAAGGCTAGCAGGCCTTTCCTTTGGCCTTTTGTGTCTCTGTTCCTGACCCCCTTGGTCAAGAATCTATGCATATGACCCCCTGAAAATCAGCAGTGATGTACAGATACAGGGAGCAAAGGAGCCATACAAGAAATGTGTCAAGGGTATAGGGTCCAGATAGTTGCAAATCTGCTCACCCTCCAGACAAAATCTTATCATTCCTTTTATTTTTTCCCAAACAAAGGATAATTCAAATCTTCGCTTCTTGCAAAGAGTGGTACTTAGAGTTCTGGAATTGCATGATTCTGTTTTTTTTTTTTTAACTTGTGACACAGGCTTTCCTACTGGAAAGAAAAAAATAGATGTTTCTCTATTATGCATGATTAAGTAAAGGATTATCTTTAATTTTTTTATTAAAACTAATAAGATTCATTTTAATTAAAATTTTAATGACAATTAAAATTTAAAAAAATAACTGTGTTTACCATTTTCACATAACTACGTTTAGGCTTTGTATTCTTGATTTGCAAATCATGAATGAGAAATAGGGCTCGAGGCACACTAGGGGACAGTACACATGTATTGTTTCAAGTTTCAGTTAGTCTACAGAAGTGATGCCACCTAGGCAATTTTTGTCATATTTTAACACACATGCACACACACACACACACACACACACACTTCCTGGAGACTTACAGTTATTCTAGCAAAGACCTATTACAAAATTTGGATCTTTAGCTTAGCTTTACAGTCTTGATAATTTGGAAGTTACTACCAAGGAGAAGCAAATGTTACGGAATCTGGTCTGGATCAACCAGCACAAGAACCAAGCAGCACTCAGAGATCTTAGAAGGCAGGAGGTTTATTTTATACCGGTGGGTTCAGAGATCACTCTCCAGAGGCCTGAGCCCCTAAGCATGAGCAGAGGGAACAATTTGTAGTCTGTTACTTCCGCATTCCTCATTAGTAGTAATTTGGTGCACACAGCAAGCTGGGTGGGAAGAAGAACCCAGAAGGGGAGTCTTCAGTCAGGGTCAGGAATTTCCTTATCAGTCCATCTTATAACAGATTTTCCCCTGTCACAAGCTTCTGCAAAGGAATACCAATTATATTGTACAGAGAAATGCCAGTCAAGAGGTAAAAAAGTACCGTCAGGGAACATAATTTTGAGTGGGCTTTGTAAGTAAAGAGGACACACCTTGCTGACTTTTTACATTGATTTCATGTCAGGATGTAAAACAAGGAATATTTTAGATCTAAAATTCTGATATTCAAGTCTTACTTTCCTCTTCGACCTTCCAGAAGCTTTGCCAATGCATTGCGAAATGCCAATGTTTACAAAAACTTTTTAAAGAACCCCTAGCAAATTCAGAGAGATGAAATGTAACACTTGTAAAGAGAGGCCTTTTCGGGAGCAGAGGCGATGGCAGAGTGAACTCATTCTGGAACATATGCCGACGGGGGTTGAGTCGCTCGCTCATCTGCAAGTCTTTCATAAAAAAGCTTGTCAGTATTTCACTGCCAGGTTGAAAGCTTAATGCATTGGGGTTTTCTAATAATGGCTTTTTAATTAGACCCCTGAAGAAAATGTGGCACTCGGAGTTCATGGAGGCGTTTAATTAATTTTTGTGGGGAGTCACTGACACAGAGTGAAAATGGATGAACATGGTTATTGCCATATCACTGTTTTAAAGCATGGCTCCTAATTATGTTATCAGGTTGAAAATAAATATAAAAAGGCTCCTAGCTGCTTATATTATTTTAACTCTTTCTTATGAGCCACAGCTGGGAGATAGATGACAACGAACTTGCCTAAAGAAACTTACTAAACAGAAAGTTAAAGGAAGATGGTTTTGGAGGGCCAGACGATGGATCCTCTCAAAGGAGCAGTTAGCCAGTGGCATGAGGTTTAATGGTAAAGGCCAGCAATGTAGGCCAGGCAGGGAAACTGGAATTCTGTGACTTGGGTAGACAGAGAGTGAGCTTACCGTCATTAAAGTTTCCTGGAAAATGAAATACCATACGGTTTCCAAAGTTTTAAAATATGTATGTATTGGCCTCCAGATTGACTCTCAGGAAGGAATGTTTGCAGTGTGGCGATACCAGAAGTATTTTAAATAAGACTTTCAGGGAAATAACATCATGCCCTAACCACAGCTCCCAAGTATGCCAGGCTTAATTTCCCCTTGAGATCATGGAAAATAATGGATGGAAGTATTTATGAAATGAGAATTGGTATTGACTAATTTGTTTATTTTTCAAGGGGAGGAACAATAATTTACCGAGTTCATGATCACAAAGTAACTTGATTTAGTCAACAATGCCATATTAGAAAATGTAATTATTTGCTTTCTTTCCTTCCTCACTTACTATTTCCTGATTAGTAAAGTATTTCATTCTCATTTGTGGTTGAGTTAAGAAAATACATACAGGAATAAAGAAGAAAATTAAAATGATTCACAATCTTTTTTCCAAGCAAACATTTTTGGTATATTTTCCTAAATGTTTTTGTTTAACGGATCTCCTTGAGCGACTGACGTTTCACATTTTAGCAACTGCTCATTCCATTGTATGCTGAAGGGCTGGGCTCTAGAAAAAAGAATTGCCTCTATTTTAAATTTAATTTATGATCCATCTTGCCCACAGGTCACTGTTTCTTATTCCGTCAAGATTTTAAGTTTCAGCTTCGTGTCCTTTTCCTTCGTGTCAGTCCTGACACTGTTCTTGTTGATTAAATATTCATGTGTTTTATCTGTTCAAACCTCCTTGCTTCCACTGATCTTGTCTTGTACTTTCTCTCTGCCCCTTGTCCTGTGTTGCCCCCCCAGATCTTGTCAGTTTCAAGGACCACAGCTCTGACCACCCCTGTCTATCTTTTCCACTCACATCCTCTATTTCCCCCACCCACATAATCTTTGAAGTCTATCAGCACCTTCAGACCAATAAGCTTCCTAATATTTCATTGTCCCTTCGGTCCCCATGTGCTCTCTTTCCCTTTCCCCTCAATGGTATGTCCTTAAGTTTCATGGTTCTTCATTTCCGTCACCTCTTGACATTCGTCCTTAACTTCTTTGTCCTTCCGTTATTTAATTACAGTCAGTAAAACCACAGTTTTAGTTAAATCAAATTCTCTGACAACTCAGTGTTAAAGCATTAGAAAAATACATAACTGGACTGAGATCTAACTTTCGGTTCGTAGTCAGTCATTCATGTTGGCCTTTAATGTGATTAAGACACCTTACTGTTTCCCTCAGCCTGGTTAAACTTTTGGCAGGTTAGATGAGTAACCTAACTATCTGTAACATTGTGATCGCTACCTTCTCCTTGAAACAGTTTCTTTACTTGTCTTAGAGGATACCACACTCTGTTTCTCTTCTTACCTCTCTGGCCATTATTTTTCTGTTTCCTTTATCTATATTTTCTTATCTCCCTGTCTCCTTGGTCTCTTAATGTTGGAGCGTCCCAGCACATAGCCTTTTTCCCCCTTTATTTTTCTTTACACATTCACTTCTTGGGAGTTTTATCAAGCCTTAAGGCTTTTAATATCCATCTACCAGCTAATTGATCCAACTTGTATTTCTACAATCTACCTCCCTTCTCAACTCTAGGTATATATCCAACTGACTTCCCAGATATCCCTTGCTAGTTGTCTTCTTGGCATTTCAAACTTGGTACGAGACATCAGCACAAAATGTCTCTCTTCCTACAGCATCACCCACGAAACTCCAGTCCTCCATCATCACAGACAACTTCCTCTTTAATTTGCCTTGGCTAAAACTTTTGGAGGCATCCTTTTCTCTTAATTTATCATAACCCATGTTCTATCTGTCATCCAAATCTGTAACTCTGCCGTAAATTATATTCCAAATCTGACAATGTCTCCCAACTTCTACAACTAATGCATTGCCCCAACCTACTACTTCCTCTTCTCCTATTTTGTGGCAATATTCTGTGTGTGTGTGTGTGTGTGTGTGTGTGTGATTTTCTCCTTTGCCTTCCTTTGGTCTATTTCTAATAGATACTCACCACCACCACCCCCCAGAGTAATATTGTCCAAAAAGTACGGTTACATGGTATAAGATCATGACCATTAGGTCCAACAATGTCTTCCCGCATCATGAGACTAATAGCCTTACAAATCACAGAGGCTTCACACAATCGTTCTTTAACCTATATTTTCCATTGTTCAATCTTCACCACCTCTACCAGCCTCCTTGCTATTCCTCAGTCATTTCAATCAGATTCCCAAGCCAACATTTTGATACTTGTCCTTCCCTCTACCTGAAACACTCTTTTCCTGGACATTCACTTGAGTTTTTCCTTTGTTTCCATCAGATCTTTACTCACATGGCCCCATCTGAGTGAAACCAGACCTACCCACTCAATGACAAACTGTACATGTCTTCAACTTTGTATTCCTTTTGCTGCTTTATTTTTCTTCAGATCATTCATTAGCTTCTAACATACATCTTTATTTTTTTATCTAATTTATTGTGTTCTTACCTACTGAAGACTAAGCTTTTTTGAGGATAGGGATTTGTTTTGTTCTGTTTTCAGTCGTAATGCCAATAGCTAGAACAGGGACTATTTAAATAGATAATCATTCCATGTTTGTTGATGGAGTGATAGAAAGAGGCTACCGAGGTTGCAGGAGAATATAATCTGATCTGGTTCTTTTTTTAAAATGTTTATCTATTTTTGAGAGACAGAGAGAGACAGAGTGCAAGGGCAGAGACAGAGGGAGACACAGAATCTGAAGCAGGCTCCAGGCTCTGAGCTGCCAGCACAGAGTCTGAAGAAGGGGTTGAACCCACAAACCATGAGATCATGACCTGAGCCAAACTCACATGCTTAACAACCAAGTGAGCTACCCAGATGCCCCAATCTGACCTACTCCTTAATCAAAGTTTAATGATCTTAGAGGAGTTTTTAATACAGTATAATAAAAAAGGAAATATATAGGAAAATCAAAAACTTCTATGAAAAAAGAGGTTCAACTGAGCCATTCTTGGAATTCAAACTGGAGAGTTTGCTGAGGAAGATAGTTGGCCCAGAACTAGGCAAAGATCACAGCACTAAAAAATCTATCATGTGTGAATCAAGTTATGCAGAATGATTTATTATAATATATCCCCTTGTATCCATTCCCAGGAAAATGTAACCAAGGAAATATCTTTTTATGTGGGTGGGAAAGAACAGCAGTCTGAAATGAAACAAATGATTACTTTAATATTTTTTCCTATTTCATTGCTTCCAACGGATGGCATATATATCTGAGTGACTTACAGAGTGCTTTGCACAGAACACTTGATCATGGCATCCAGCATGCAGTCAGGATCTTAGGGGCTACCTGGATACTTTAAGGAAGCAATAGGGGGATACTTGGATTCTGTATATAGTTTAAATTAATGCAAAAAATATATGGGGCACCCGGGTGGCTCAGTCAGTTGAGCATCCAACTCTTAATTTTGGCTCAGGTCATAATCTCATGGTTATAGGATCGGTCTCAGCATAGGGCTCCACACTGAGTCTGAAGCCTGCTTAAGATTCTCTCTCTGCCTCTCTCTCTGCCCCTTCCCCCTCTCAAAACAAACAAACAAACAAACAAATAAATACCCTGGAACAAAAGCAACACCAAAGTTTAAGACAAGTTAGAAAGTACGTATATTTGGACGTCCAAAAGGAGATTTCAAGAAGTGTTTATCCAATAAAAAGTTGATGTTAAGACAAGAAATTCCAAGAAAAGGTTAACTGGAAGAAAAAGGTTCTGTGTTTTAATTACACATGAAAATGTATTTTGATGTTCAGCATATCGTGAGGCATCTAAAGAATCCACAGTATCTGCAGAAACTCTCTGGTTATTTACAATGAAGTATGATATAGACAAATTGGAAGGAGGAACACGAAATCAAAGTCAGGAAGTAAAGAGTAGCATCATATAAAAGTAATAATTGTCTGAAAGAAGAAAGCCAAATTTAAGCTAAATTTTCAGAAAATTATATAAGGATAATTTAATGGTTTTATAGACCTGCCATGAATAAAACAAACAATATATATTTGATCATGTGCTTACCAAAAAAAAAAAAAAAAGGAACAGGCAACAATAACACAGAGAAAGAAAAATCAGTCAGTTCTGGATTCTAACTCTGTTAAGTGAGGTTTTAAAGCTGCAAAATATAACAGGACCATGGTTAAACTGATCTGAAGTCTAAGATAAGTGAAACAAGGTATAATTTTAGGTATCGGGGAATTGTTATCAGAACTGAAATGAATTGAGGAAAAACGTTTGCCTAAGTTCAGACTTTTTACTCTGGGTAGACTTAGAAGAGAAAACTCCCGTAAAGTGAATACCACCATTATAGATTCCCCTTCTTATGTCTACTTCCCAAGACTTCCAATCTTAAGTGAACAACGTAGTAATCTAAGATGTGTTGATATGTAGAGTCATCCTGTCACCACATCTAATACTGTTTCTTTCTAGGAAAGTATATTTTCCATTACGGTATTTAACTCCCCAAATCATTCCAGCAGTCGTTACAAAACTATATTTATCTTCCTCATCGACTTCAGTTTTTCCCCTTTATTGATATTTCCCTTCTGTATAAGC